GATTGTAATATATGTGTTATATGTTATAAGTAGGATGAATCATTACTTATGATTTAAACGGTAGAATCAATAAATTTAGCGTTGTTATTGCTGCAAATAAGAGTGAATCCACTTATCTCTTAAAGTTAGCTCAATTTATACTTGATAGCTTCTTTCTTTAATATTGTCTGTTTTTGGACAATTTCTTCCCATCTCTGTGCTTTCTTTTGATCTGTTCAGTATTTCGGACTCATTTAATTATTAAATTATTATCTTTTGTTGTCACGATTTTTTTTCCATTTACATACTTTGCGCGCTCTTTCTCTACGTTTCTCTTTTCTATTCATTGCAACCTTGCCATGATCTTTATCTTGTTTTTCTTACCTTCCAGTTCTAAATAGTTTAGCTTTGCATCAGTCATCCTGTAGTCTTTTCCTGGTTTGGAATATTTACTCCCCGCTTCTATGCACCAAACGTGTTTGATTGATTGGTTAAGTCTTTTTCCATCGATACTGTCGCTTTTCGTTCCTATTTGCTTGCTCCTCCTTCAGCCATTAGTTTCTTCATTTTTTCCCCCATTTTGTATTTTCTCAGCTCAATTTTTCCATTTCTCTTTTTGCATGTTTTTGGAATTTGGTTTTCTGTGCTATTTTTATTTTTTTTTTCTTGATACTTTATCCAGGATCAGATTATTATATATTTGGTCTGCAGGTTTTCCAGTTTTTCTCTACTTTGAAATACCCAGAGTTCAAAAATATACATAAAAACACTTTTCATCAGCATCATCATTCTTCTTTCCCATCTCCTAGCATTCTTTCTTTCAAGTCCCCATACTTGTGCCATGATCCTTGCTGACTAATCTTTTGTGTATCCATCATACATATACTGCTTTCTGAAAATGTTTCTTTCCATGATCGTAGTAAGCTTTGGTTTTCTGTATTTATTGTTAGTTCTTTCTTTTTAAAAGTTTTCTCAGACTTGTCAGCATCTTTTCCAGCTCTTTTTACTCTACTGATTATACTATTTGCTTTCTTCTTGAGAACTCTTCGACGTCGGCTATTAAGATAAGAAACAGCAGTGAACTCAGTTGACACCCTTGTCTCAGTCCACAATTTTGTGGTTATTTTGTCTTCTATTTTAATTCTGCTTGGTCTTCTTGCACATACTTCTTTTCTTCAGGCAAAAGTCATGTTAATAGGTGGATAATTGTTTTGCCATGTTCTTCAAGGCGATTTATACGATGGTATGAATTATTCGAAGTTTTCTGGTAAATACATTATTATTTGTCATTCCAAATGAAAAACTCTGACCCTTGTTCAAATATGCTTAATAATTTCTTTCACACATTAGCTGTAGTTGCACAATACTATTTTCTGTTAGTCTAGTTACAATTAAACTTTGTGGGTAAAGTACATCGGACGTAAACTAGTTCCCCATTCGGATGTCCGAGAGGGGACTACCTCGGGGATGTCATCAGTAAGTGCAATAGGGATATGTGCAATATTTCACGAGTCGGAGCGTGGAACGTTAGGGACAATGAGGCAAGTAGGGAAAATTTAAAAATAGAGATGGATACATATTAGAGGCAGAAACAGGAGTAAGGAGGGGTAGAGGCAAACCTAGGTTAGATTACTGTTCGCAAATAGTTAAAGATGTGGGTTGTTCTAATTAGTTTTAGGGAAATGCGANAAATTAAACCGCCGAAAAAACTGAAAAGCAAAAAATAATAAACCTTTATTTTAAGTTCTTCAACTAATGTAAGTATACCTAAGTAATTTTAAGTCGGCGCTAAACAGTCAATAAACAAAGATCTAAAAATATGTTAAATTTAAAGAAATCACCAAATCAAATTAACAATGCAATGTGAAATCAGCAGCGATTAACATTAATGCGCTCTCCGCACGACCACTCGCAACGACGTGTGACCTCACGTGTGTAAGCAGTTGTTAAAATGGTTTCACTAACAACTCAATTTTACTGATATTTGTAGAACAAACATTTTTTGAAAATTTTCACTTAATTTATTGACATTCTTAGCAAATTTCGACCTACAAGGTGTACTTCGAAACCATGTCACAAACATTTTGTCTTAAATATTAAAAGTTCGTACAGGTTGGAGGAAGAGAAAGTATGCTCTTTAATTTAAAGGTAGTCTTTTATTCTGTGATGTACCGAAAATGATCTCATCTTCGTCGTGCAGTTAGATACAGACATATACAACATAATTCGTAATTCCGTATTAACGTTCGGATGTAAAACTTCGAGGGCTTCATAGTTAGTTTTTTAACTTACTTGGAATTACATGCACAATCTTTAGGAATATCTGAAGCTTATCTACGAACTAAGCTAATCTGTCTTTCTACAAGCAAGGTGAAGACCAAGACCGAACGAACAAGACAAATACTAAAACTAAGACCGAACGAACAAGACCAAGTCTAAAAGTAAGACCGAATATGTAAGACTAAGACCAAATAGATAAGACTAAACGAAAAATTATTATTTCCGGTAGATTTATGAATTAAACTATTTGAAGGAACTTTAATAGGTATATTATTTGCTTGGAACAAAACATTTTCAGTATTTAAAATTTTCATTTTTTGTTAGTAGTTTTTAACACTAAATATAGAAAAAGAAAACTTTACCACTGTTTTAAATAAGGGATCTACAAGAATGTTGTCGGAGTTATTTGTTCCTACGTCTAAATAACACATGATTGAAATATAGAGACCTACTAATTTTTCCAACAAAATAATTCGAAGTGGTCTGTATTCTGTCGAAACTGCCAGACGCGGATCGCGATTTCGATCTTTTTGGATCTCATCAGCGCGTCGTAGGCAGATCCAACAGAACACAGACCAACCTTTACCTGCTGTCTTAACAGCGCGTTTTAGAAAATACTACAAATGGCGTGGTGAGCGCCATCTGTAGTACGATGCTACATTTGAGGATTACATATGCTCCAACAAGGTCCATTTAAAAATATGGATATCTACTTGCTGAAACGAATCCCGGCGTAGCTCACCTCAACG